TAAAAAATAAAGTCTATCCAAAAAAAAAAAAGTTCCCTGGGTTCCATACCAGAGTTACTGAATCAGACAGAATCCTGGAGAAGTGTTATGATCTGAGGAATATGAGTTTTAGCAAATCTCTTTGGAGATAAGACCACTAATCATGTAGGGAGAAGTGAGAAAAGGAAAGGAGAGAGAAAATGGGAAAGAAGAGATGAGGACAAAAAGTAACATTGACTGATATTGTTGTGTACCAACCTCAAAGATTCAGATTCAGCAGAGCTAAAGTGAGGCCTAGAAATCTGTATTTAAAACCTCCTTAGGTGATTCTGAAACTACAATGAGGTACCACCTCACACCAGTCAGAATGGCCATCATCAAAATGTCTACAAATAATAAATGCTGGAGGAAGTGTGGAGAAATGGGAGCCCTCCTCCACTGTTGGTGGGAGTGTAAACTGGTACAGGCACTATTGGAAAACAGTATCGAGGTTCCTCAAAAAACTAAAAATAGAGTTACCATATGATCCAGCAATCCCACTCCTGGGCATATATCCAGACAAAACTATAATTTAAAAAGATACATACACCCCTATGTTCACAACAGTACTATTTAAAATAGCCAAGACATGGAAACAACCTGAATGTCCATCGACGAATGGACAAAGAAGATGTGGTGTGTGTGTGTGTGTGTGTATAATTGTGTATATATATGTGTCTGTATATATACACAATGGAATATTACTCAGCCTTAAAAAAGAGTGAAACAATGCCATTTGCAGCAACATGGATGGACCTAGAGATTATCATACCAAGCGAAGTTAAGTCAGAAAGAGACAGACAAATACCATATGATATCACTTATACGTGGAATCTAAAATATGACACAAATGAACATATCTATGAAACAGAAATAGACTCACAGATAAAGAGAACAGACTTGAGGTTGCCAAGGGGGAGGGAGGGATAGGGGAGGGAAGGATGGGAGTTTGGGATTAGCAGATGCAAACTATTATATGTAGGATGGATAAACAACAAGGTCCTACTGTGTAGCACAGGGAACTATATTCAATATCCTGTGATAAACCATAATGGAAAAGAAAATGAAAAAGAATATAAATAGGTATAACTGAATCGTTTTGCTGCACAGCAGAAATTAACATAACATTGTAAATCAACTATACTTCAATAAAATTTTAAAAAATAAAATAGAATAAAACCTCCTTAGGTGATTCTGATAGAGGGCGGGACATCCCTACATCCAATGAAGGAGCTTCATGGAAGTAAGGTTTTAAAAAAAAGGAGCGTGAGGCTGAAAAGGAGGTTAAAATGGCACATAATATTTCTGATGTAGAAAATAAAATGACTGTTCTGAATGTTAAAAAGAAAAAGGATACAGTCAAAGGCAATGAAAAGATGATTTGAGCAAAGGACAAAACAACTAGAGAAAAGGGTTCTTCGTCCTGAGATCAATAATTATTTCTGCCAGACGACAGCCCTGCTATGTGTCTCATGATCATATAGGTGCACACTCTTCACCATCTTCATGCAGACAAGGCCGATGACAAAGTTATCTCTGGGGATTTAGTCTCAAAAACAGATTAGGTAGTAAAGCCCTAACATGCCAATTACCAGAGTGGTAGTTTCTAAATGCCACAATGTAAAGCATTTATTATAAACAAGCAAAAAACAACTGGCAGATCGTTCAGATAAAAATCAGTTCATACAGTGGGTTAAAAAAATCAATTTTTAAAGATGACATTCAAAATCCGTCAAGTCGGTAAGTGTGTCCATGAATTAGCACCTAAAACTAGGGTAACCACGTAATTTATTATTCAGAACAGGACACTTTTGAGTGAAAGAGGCTCTTAACAAGCACACCAGGAAAACAGGTGTAGACCAGAACGTCCCAGATTCATCCCAGGCAAACCAGAATGGATATCTCCCTAATGGTAATACCCCTTTGAACATTAATAAACCTAACGATAATCATCTATACTAACCACAATGTTCCAAAGAGGAATTGATGGTAATTACAAAGTTAGAAACCGCAGATGGTATTAATCCAAGTTCCTTTTTCTCTCCACCCATGTTCTTAGTGTGAAACATCAAATGACACTTTTATAATTACTTGGCACAGCAGTAATTAATACTGATCTTGGAACTTAGTAAAGCTCTACAATAATTTGTAGACCACATTGGATTCAATCTAGTCTTTACTCTGGAATTCGTGCAGTGAGCTCTATTTCACCAGCTACCTTACCACTACCACCAAGACAACAGGCTCTAACTTGGACAAATTGGCAGAAGAAATTTTAATTTTTTTGTTTTAAGATATAGTATACTTCTATATGGATCTTGAATCCCTAGTGAAATAGTATCTTGATTATGAAACGAAGAGTCATTTCGTTGGATTTCTAATATGAAAGGGTTTCGTTTTTCTTTTCTATTTCAACAAATATTTATTGGGGTTCTACAGTATGCCATGCTTTGTCTAAATGATAGATTAAGCAGAGAAGAGAGACCAAATGACTGTCAATCCAATGAAAAATATTGTTTAGTCACTTGTAATCTATGAGACTAGTGGTTCACAAACCAGACTGCACTTTAGAATTATTGGGGGGGAGCTCTAAAAAAAATCTTGTGGGGGCTTCCCTGGTGGCGCAGTGGTTGAGAATCTGCCTGCCAATGCAGGGGACACTGGTTCGAGCCTTGGTCTGGGAAGATCCCACATGCCGCTGAGCAACTAGACCCATGAGCCACAATTACTGAGCCTGCGTGTCTGGAGCCTGTGCTCCTCCGCAACAAGAGAGGCCGCGATAGTGAGAGGCCCCATGCACCGCGATGAAGAGTGGCCCCCACTTGCCGCAAATAGAGAAAGCCCTCGCACAGAAATGAAGACCCAACACAGCCATAAATAAATAAATAAAATTAAAAAAAAAATCTTGTGGCTTGCCACATAAAAATCTGTACATAAATGTTCACAGTAGAACTATTCATGATAGCCAAAAAATGGAAAGAGACCAAATGTGTATCAGCTGATGAACGGATAAGCAAAATGTGGTATATACATATAACGGAATAGTTTTCAGTAATGAAAAAGAATGAAGTACTGCTACCTGCTACAACATGGATGAACCTTGAAAACAGTAAGCTAAATGAAAGAAGCCAGGCACCAAAGACCACATATTGTATAATTCCATTCATATGAAATGTCCAAAATACCAAATCTAATAGAGACAGAAAGCAGGTTAGTGACTGTCTAGGACTGGGGATTTGGGGGAGGAATGGAGAGTAACTGCTAATGAGAACAGATTTTAGGGTGATAAAAACGTTATAAAACTGACTACAATCGTCAGAGAAATGCAAATAAAACCACAATGAGATATCAGCTCACACCCCTTTGGATGGCTATTATCAAAAAGACAAGCAGTAACAAGTGTTGGTGAATGTGTGGAGAAAAGGGAACCCTTGTACCCTGTTGGTGAGACTGTAAATTGGTACAGCCATTATGGAAAACAGTATGGAGGTTGCTCAAGAAATAAAAAATAGAACTACCATATCATCCAGCAATCCCACTTCCAGGTATATAACTAAAGGAAATCAAATCAGGATCTCAAAGACATTATATCCAATGTTAGCATTGCAGCACTCCTTAAGTGTGATAGAGTACATACCCAATCAATGGCATCTTTTCTGCCAATCTCCATGGCACGTGTGCAATCTTCATGTCTAGGACACTGACACAACTTTCCCTTCAACACCTCAGCACCCTGGCTGGGAAGGAGCCTCACTTAGAATTGCAGTTTGGCAATGCTGATCTTCTTCCAAACTTGGAGCAGGCCTGACCTCCTGCAAATTGGCTGGCTGGCTGATATCCTGCTTTATGTTAGAGAATCTACCTTGCAATATTCCACATTGTCACTTGCCAGACACTGTGGACCGTCACTGCCTGGACACACTGCTCCTGAAACTCTTACCTGCTTGAATGTTGACACTGGCCTGGGCAAGCCAGAGATAGCCCCAACTATCCACTTGGATATGACCTGTGATTGCTGGTCCCTGCAGCTCCCTCAGGCACGAGCGTGACATTCCTGGATTCATCTCCTTTTTCTGCTGGCCTGCCAGTAAGGTTACAGCACTACCTCTGTTAATATAAAACATTTATGGTCTTATGGAGTATTGAAACATTGCTTAAAAAGTGTTATTTTTAAAATTTAAAGAGTAAATTCCAACTAATTCTGTTTGGAGATACGTTTGAGAATTTCACTGTATGTTAATATTTCTGGAAGGATGGAGGAATCAGACTACATCATATTCTAACTCCATAAAGGTGGGGAATCACAGGGCTAAAGCGTGAGTGACCCAAAAGTATAGCAACCAACCGCTCGTCATCAACTTGGGGAGACTTAATTGACTGTGTCCAGGGCTCACTGTTAGGGCCATTGTAAGAAATGATCTAAAGGGACCTTCCCTGGCGGTCCAGTGGTTAAGACTCCACACTTCCACTGCAAGGGGCGCAGGTTCCATCCCTGGTCGGGGAACTAAGATCCCGCAAGCTGCACAGTGCAGCTAAAAAAAAAAAAAGAAAGAAAGAATCTAAAGAAGAAATTAGAAATGTGGCCATCAAGTGAAGGCATTTCACTGAGTAGGAATGAAAACCGAGTGAGAAACAGGATGGAAAGCCTTTGTGCAAGATCATATATTTAGAAACAAAAAGAATAGATATGAGAAGCCAGGTTGTAAGTGCTATAAAAAGCTCAGGGACAAAGCTGAGCACTGTCACCCTAAACATGCAGGGAGGGAGCATTGTTATGAATCAACATAGCTATAAGGTACAATACCGGGAAGACCATACATTTGCTATATCAATTAGTAGAAAGGTCCAAAATGGGAAAGCTCAGTTCTATGTACTTGGGAGGAGCAGCAACCTTGGTTCCACAATTAAACCTAAAAAGTAACAAATGTCCCAAATAGTTGAGAACCCCCAAATTCAACATGAAAAAAAATCATATATTATAGCAAGTATTCATCAAATGTTTATTCCTTGAATGACAAATAATTTAATCCAACAATCTTCAAATTGCTTAAAACTATGACAATATTTAGCTTTTCAAATTTCATATGACCTTACTCTTTCCGTGCTCTAGTTTCTAAAAGCCTGATAATTCCTTCTATTTCTCTTCAAAAATTCTTATGCTTACAGTGAATAAACTGGCGGCATTATAAAATTATTTTAGTTCGAATGAAAATGTATATTCCTGCAAGACATTTCAACCAGTTGCAAATTATCTGAACTGAAACAAATAAAATTATGCATTAAATTTTTATATCACTCTAAAAGTTCATGAACTATATATTCTACCACTCCAGGTTTTCCTTAGAAGTTTCTGATTTTATTTGAATCTTACCATCCATGAGATTTTCTAATGACATGATAGAAATCTTAATATTCAAAAGTGTTTATACTTTTAAAAGGATGGCAGGAACCTGAAACAGACTTTCTACACAAAAGGCCTCCCTGTTTCTAACAGGAATATACCACGGTCAGGTTTTATGCTCAGGTCACACAAAGATGGGCTGTTACTAGAGAGTTGTTTTATACAGTTGGTATTTTTAATTCTCTATTTTTTGGTTCCAAAACGTAGTCTTCATTTTCATCAGGAAGAGAAGTCTGTAATTTCTTCCAGTTTGAACTCATCCATCCAGTTTTGCAAATCATTTGCATCATTTATCGTCCATAACTTCGCAAAACACTTTAGCCTTTTCCTGGAGAGAAAATAAAATACTATTTCTTTTATAAATGAAATTGTTAGAGGCCAGTACATCTCATGGAAAGCTATGAAAAGTCTGTAACATAGACTCACAGGCAAGGTGATTGGGAAGCTGTGGTTGGGAAGCTATGTCAGGAAGCATCAGCCTTCCTGAGAAACAAGTTTTTCAGTGCTGCTATTATAATCAAGAGACCAAAGTTGTTGATCAGCTCTCTGACTCCGGGGAGAGGAGAGCCCAGCTTCCTCCCTCTTCTAACTCAGCCAGAGGCTATGTGTGCTCACAGGATGAAAAGTAAAATTGATTTAATAATATAATGCAGGCTATGGAAAGAGTAAAATGCCAACATAACAGAGACCTACTTAGGGTCTGAAGAGGGAGTATATGAGTTCCAATCACTGCTCCAGCACCAACTAGCTGTGTGACCCTGGTTTTCTGGTCAGCTTCCTACCCCCACCTGGCCTCATTTTCCCCAACTATAACATGGGGATGACAGCAGTACCTATCTCACAAGGCTGTCGTAAGGAATGAGTTAATGTATGTAAAGCAATAAGAACAGTAACTGGCACAGTGTCTAGGCTGCTGCAAAGGACTGACTGCCCAGACTTGCTGGTGCACACAGCAAGCATTCAATAAATATTAGCTATTACCAAACCCACATGAATGCACTGGATTCAGTTTGCTTTCTTTGATCTCGCCAATGGAATCGATGTGACAGGCACTTTGAGTGAAAAGGAAAAACAATAAATGCAGTGTATCCTGATAAATCATCAGATTCCATCCCAATGCAACCTCTTTCTATAATTCTGTCTTTTTAAGATAACTTTCTAGATTTCAAAATGTCATATACTGGTCGGAAGAGTTAAAATATTTATAAATAACCTGTGAATTTCACTGCTCTTGCTTTATAGGCTATATAGCAGCAACATGTATAAACTCTCATATTTTATCACCATCGTGCTTATGTATCTTTTGTAGTAAAGTTTTATTCTAGTTCCTTTAGGGAAAAAGAAAAATAAGAAGACAACAAGAGAGGATTTAAATCAGCCCAAAGAACTACGGGCTAAGCTTATTTTTAAACTCTCACAGATGATCACTTTTCTCTCTAGAAAAATTTTATGTTAATCTATTATGTTACAAATAACTAGAAATAAGCGGTCGCTGATTACAACATTTGTTTCTAACTTGGCATTGAGGAAAGGATGCAGAAGAGAAAGTCGACAGAGGAAACGACATGTCTTTTATAGTATTCCAGCACTTTGGACCTGGTTCACCACCATTTACCACTGCAAAGTGTGGAGTGCAAGGCAGAACCACAGAGGCAGGAAGAGGAGAAAGAGAAGCTGGTTGCACGACTGTACGTCAGTATACAAGTTGGCAAGTGCTTAACTAATATTAGGTGTTAATATCTCAATATTTAAATAGGGGGTGATTTCCAGAGCTAAAACATATTCTTACGGTATAGTGGTCCGCCAAGATGTTCTATTGGACTAACAGCCTGTTCACTCCTGGTCATGTGGTTATGGACCAGGGCAATCATGTCCTGCCCCAGGCCGATCACTCTCCAAGCAGAGAAGGAGTGGGGTAGGAGGTAGGTGAGGAGCTTATGTTGTTTTATAATATAATCTTATATTTGGGGAAAAAAAGGCTATAATTTATTATTTATTAGTATGATATTTTCCTAGGAATATCTTCCTTCCAAAGTATGTCTCAAGTTTATATGAAGATTAGTATATATACTGACTATATACTTGCTGGCTATCCAGGGTAAAAAGTGAGTGCATTCACAAAAGCGTTCCTAGATGATGGAGAAGTCGGTTAGAATGAAAACTTTGTCACAAACAAATCCACAAAGTAAGTGACGTGTGGATACTGACTCTAATCACCTAGTTATGTGATATTATTATTTTCATTCCTGTCCTGACAGAATTCTTCATCTCTGAATGCAACTACTGCATATCTGAATGCAATATATGAATAAAAGAAGTACTCTAAACATTTTATATATTGAGGTTTCCATTAGTAATTTTTTGCATAAACGAATATTTTAGGCAACGAATGTGTTGGTACATATTAAGGAGTTAATTCTTTAGAAAAATGATTAAAAGAACCAATTTATCAACTTAATAAAGACCTGACTAGAGAGGCATGAGTGAATCCACGTGAGCTTTGGTAAGAGCTGTTTTCATTTTATTGTAATTAAATGTTTCACAATACTTGAAGAGACACTTGAAGGAAGTTCTGATGTTCATTTACAGGACAATCCTCTTCCTGGGACAACCTGGAAGATTTCATTATAAATCAAAAAATGCAGCACAATCATTCTGACCTTTTCATATTTACTAATCCTTCCAGCTCTTTTGATTTGCTAGCTGCTTTCTTTAAAATTTCTCCAGGAACATCTGCTAGTTTAGCCACATTGAGTCCATAACTCCTTGCTGCAACTCCTCTGGTTATTTGATAAAGAAAAGTGACAAAATCAGGAACCTGGTCTTCTTCACCTAAAAAATAGAGTTAAAAAAGAGAGAGAGAGAGAGAGAGAGAGAGAGAAAGAAAACCATGTTTGAAAGTTGAAAGAAATTAGAGGATTAAAGACAACATACAAACTCTTATAGCTTTATTCAATTAAAATTTATAATCTGAAAAAGAAATCCATTGTTCCTAATCCCTTGTTAGCTCCTTTTATCAATACTACATATCTAGAAAAGGGTAAATACTGCTTTGAAAATGCTTTTGCATTTAGAATCTATCTTTTAGCTCAGTTAAAATGGTTTTTAACAATTACTCATTGTAAGCTAAGAAGTATTTAGTTTTAGGCTGTTTGCTGAAAAATTTCCACTGACCTTCTATATCAAAAAAAGAGTGATTCTGATACATGGTACAATACAATTTCTCCTTTAAAAATAGATTTTAAAAAAAAAGTGTTTTCCAGTGGAAGAATATATGCACCAGTCTTGTAATACACTCTGTAAAGTAACATATATAAAAGATGTTTCTAAGAGTGCTAGAAACAAAACCACAAAAACAGATACGGAAATATTACATGTTGTAGAGTTTAAATAACAAGACCGAGAAATTCTGGCTTATTAAACATCCTAGTTAACTAAGAGCTATACATATTGAAGTGGATGCTGTCTGGTACCACCCAAATCCCACTCAGGACTGAAGGGTTTACTGCCCCAACTGTCAGGAAGGCTGTTAAGCCTGCAACGCTCAGCTGTGTGCTCTCTTTGGGAACGTCCTCAGCTGAAGAGAACTGCTTCACCCAAGGTCGCGTCCCATCTTGGGAAACCTGCGTCCAGTGACTGGTTGCTATGCGGGTTTGTAGGCAGCCTCTAAGATGGCCACCAAAGTTCCCTGCCTCCTTGTGTCACTCCCTCTCCTTGAGTGTGGGCTGGTTCAAAGGACTTGCTTCTAATGAATAGAATATGACAAAAATTATGGCATGTCACTTTTGAGATTACATCATGAAAGACTGTGGCCTGTCTTGGGCACTCTCACTTTCTTTCTGGCTTGTTTGCTCTGAGGGAAGCCAGTGGTCATATTGTGGGCTGCCCTATGGAGGTCCCATGGAAAGAAACTGATGTCTCTGGCCAACAAGTCAGTGAGGGCCTGGAAGCCTACCAAGAGCCACGTGAGTGAACTTGGAAGTGGCTATTCTGAGGTCTGCCAACAGCATGTGAGTGGGCTGGGAAGTGGATTGCCCCAGTCAAACCCTGAAGCGACTGCTGCCCTGGCTGATACCATGATGTAGCCTGTGAGAGACTGTGAGGCAGAGGTGTTCAGCTGAGCTGCCCCTGGATTCCTGCTCCACAGAAATTATGAGATAATAAATATTTGCTGTGCTAAGCTGCTATGTTTTGGGGGGTAATTTATTATGCAACAGTAGATAACTAATAAAAGGTATAAGGCCTGGCTCTTTCACCCGAAGTTGAGGTAACTCTGAAGGACCAACCCTCGTCAGAGCTCTCTGCAGGGTGGGCTGAAGCCTTATAACTGTAGCCCAGCGTTGTTCGTGAGAGCACTCCCCAATAAACTCTGGCATGTAAACCTCAGAATCTGCTTCCTGGGGAACCAGTCTACCACACAGTACATATACATGAAGTTAAAACTTCTAAAGAACTGGGATATAATGAAGTACAATAATACAAAGACAAGACTGTGAAGGGATTCAGAACAAGCCTCCCCAAGATGTGCCACTCTGGCATGCAGAGTGTCTGAGGCTGAAGACAGGGGAGGCCCCACAGGCTCAGGAAAGGCTTTTTAGCTCCCCCTTCAATGGCCTGAAAGAATTTAGATGGAGGTAGGGGGGGCCCTGGCTCAGAGACAGACTGTTACCACAGATAACGTTTATCTGAATGACCTATGTATAGGGCAAGACAAACATCTAAGTACCAAATATCTGTTTTTCTTATTTCCCTGTGAATTACCGTCCTCCCCTTTGATGCCCAGTCTCCTATCCCATTCCTTAGCTCAGGATGGCACAGAAGCCTCAACTGCTGACTTGCCCTCATATTCTTATGAGGCCCCTGTAGATACATAATTAAATTTGGTTTTCTCCTGTTAATCTGTCTTATGTTAATTTGATTATTAGACCAGCCAAAGAACCAAGAAGGGTAGAGAACAAATTCTTCCCCAACAGCTGCATACAGTTTAATCTTTGATAAACCTAAAGCAGCTCGGGATTACGCAGCTTTTATTACAAAATTCAATATAATTGCACGGTATTGCAAAAATGTCCAAGATGAACCAGATTCACAATGACTTCTGAGACCCTAGTATACTTATTATAAGTTTATCAGGAGCTTTTCTCATATATTATTTCATTGGATAAATGTGTATGCTTTATTCTTTTATCCAGCTAAAAGCTAAAAAGCCAAAAGACTGAACACAACAGAGAAAAAGGATAATGGAATTTTCTTTAATCTCCTCTAAGAATTCAGCAACAGACAAATAATACCTTTCTAAGGGTGGGTGCTAGAGGTGGGAGGTGAAAAGAATGCTGACACTCTCAGGAATACATAGACTAAAACTCACATTACAAAGCACTAAGAATACCTTTTGCCTCCAAATAAAACTTAAGGAACACAAAGAACAGGTGACAAAGTGGGTGGGAAAAGACTAGGAAAAGAAGCATGTAGAAACCAGTACCGGCTAACATGGATAGTTTTTTGTTACCCTTCAATGCTCACAAGACCCAAACTGAAGTGAACAGCAGTGGGGTATCAAAAAAGCCAATTCTTTTCATCTCAAAGACAAGTATTGCCTTTATCACTTCAACTGGGTTAGTCCTAACTGACTTCTCCACCTCCAGCCTCTCCTCTATAATCTAGCCTCCACACTGACCTTTCTAAAAAAGAGATTAATTCATCAGTCCATCTATCCATTCATTATCCACCCATCCATCTACCCATCCATCCACCCATCCATCCATCCATCCATCCATCCTTTTCTGAAAGCCTACTAAATGCCACAAAACCCCCTCATTTAAACACTGCTTTGCTGACGGCTTTTTCCTTTTTTTTGCTTTATATACATATAAGATGTAGTATATATAATATAGCTAGCTAAAAAATGTTTCTTAAATATAGCTATAAAATATAGTTAAATTATATAAAATATGATATTGCTCCCAAAAAACTCATTAACGTAACTCAGTACAAACAACTGCTGAATTTGTCATCATATGCTGGTCTCTACTTTAGTACTAATTATGGTAGTTCTTACAGCATCAAGGTAAATAATGTAACCACTCTTCCATAATCACCTGAAGGAAATATTTTTATAGTTACGTTCTACTTCAAGACTATCTTTCACCACTCTTCCATGGGAGAGAGAGGGAAGAAGAGGGAGAAGAGAGAGAGAAAGAGAGAGGGAGGCGTGTGTGCATGTACAAAGGAAACATGGAGGTGGAGAGAGCCAGGTCGCAGAGCAGATGGTAAAATGACTCATTTCTTTACAGCTTCAAATAAAAGTTCTTAGTGAGGACCCTACTTGTAAGCTATGACCAATTTCTTAAACAGGTATTACTGAAAAGCTTATCTGACACTGCTGAAAGTAATCATTGAAAGTAATCATTCAAGTTTCTGTTTGTTACAGGGAAACTTAGCAAAACTGTTTTAAAGCAAAACTCCTCTAGACAGGTATTAAAGAGATGTGTGCTGATCAAACAGTTTCTGAAGTCACTTTTAGGATAGATTCATAAAAATTTAGAGATGGATGAGGTTAGGAGACTTTTCCAACATCTTATGGACTGGAAGAGACTAAAACGCAGGTTTCTTACTGCTGGTCCATTGCTTTATCTACCACACCAAAGGAAATAGATAAGCATAGTATCTTGGAAGTCACCCAGAAGGTCACTGGGGCATTTTACTGATGACCAATGGCCTCTAATCTAGACAGAAGAGGAATTAGGTCAGAGGTAAAGGATGAAGCATAGATACAGTCAGGGATAATATTGGAAGTAAGCAGGCAATGGAGGAATGCTTCAAGTTTCTGAGTGAAAATTATTTTCAACCTAAAATTCTAGCCCTAGCTAAATTATAAATCAAGTGTGAAGGTATGGAGACATTTTCATTCATGCAAAATCTTAAAAATTTTACCTTCTTTAGCTGATATTATTAGTAGCCTATCCAAAATCTATTCCACCTCTAAGAAAACCCTGATTTATAAAGGAATTAACTCCCTGACCATTTATCTCAGGGAGCAGTGTCCTCATATCCAGCTCTAAATGTTGACCCCAATTAGTCTAGGCTGATCAAAGTTATCCCTCCCATTCCTACTTCTAGGAATTGGTTTAAGAATGATCATGTGATTCAATCCTGAAAATAAGATAGGACACTGAGGAGAAGCTAGTGGGTATCTAAGAAAAGTTCCCTTGCTCCTAAGAAAGAGTCACAGGAAAAGCTGGTCCCTTTTCTTCCTTCTGACATCGTCAATTCTGGATGCGATGCCCAAAAGAGCTGCAGCCATCTCGCTGCTAGTCTGATGATGAAACCAGCAGGGCAGGAAGACAAAGCCTGGAGAACTGCATACAAGACGAGCTGAAGCCCACCCTTCCTGAGGTTCCTGTAATAAGAGATTATATGTATCCTCGTCGTCTGAGCTGGTGTGGGCCCAAGTGTTCTGTTACGTGCAATCCAATGCACAGAGGAGAGGTTAAGAGACTTCCTAGGATGACAGCAATATCTGGGCAGCAGGCCTAGGAAACAACCAGTTCACATGAGCAGGAGGACAAAGGCCTCCAGGAAGAATGACACCAGTGGGGAAAACTGGAACCAACAGGTTCAGTCATGTGGAAAACTGTCTAGAGAGGTGTTTTGCAAAGCTATTGGAGGATACAGGAATTTTCAACAATAGACTCAAATAAAACAATGAAAGAATGAAAACAATTATTACCTTCAAGAAAAATGTTGTACAAGGAAGAAAACATACTTGGCTCATAAGTAAGGAATACCTACTGGCAGTAATAGTGAAAACAATGAATGTGAATGAAACGGAAAAAATGTGAAACTATTATACCAGGAGGAAGGGCAAGGGAGGGCGGAAGACTCTCATTTAACAGAAGTCAGTAAATATTGTGTCAGGTTGATGAACCAAGAGATAGGAAAATAAGCACAGTATTTAGAACTATGGAAGAAATGGATGAAAGAGTCAAAAGCAGTTGCCTTGGGACTGGAATGGGGAGGGGCCGTGGAGTAATAAAAGGATGGAAGCAGGGGACCACTGCCTGTTAGCATGAGTCTTTAGCTTTATTTAGTTTTTAAAAATTATGTTCACGAATAAAAATCTAAATCAATAAAATAAAATGCCAAAACACTTAAGATGTAAGGGTCTGGGTTAGTAGTCAGTTCACATCAAACACTTACCACTGACCCTTCCCTGCTAGTGAACTCTGTTTTGTTTATCCCATTGGATTTTAGCTTATAAGCTCCTCCTGTCACTTTGGATGCAGATGAATAGATACAAAACTGCTTCCATGAGAGAATTTATGATGTGTTTTTCAAGACCGCATGGTGGTGAAAGGCCAGGACTGCCTAACATTACATTTATCTTAGGTCCAGTGCTTTGTTTTATTTGGGCCAGTTGCCTGATATCTTTTTCAGGTCCATCCTTACTTATTACTTTTCCAAAATAAAATTTGGACTCTGGAGTATCTTTGATAATGGATTTTCCATTGTAGCACACCAACTGCATAAGCCATCACTGGCCCACAGCTTAAAAAAAATTATTATTGGGCTTCCCTGGTGGCACAGTGGTTGAGAGTCCGCCTGCCAATGCAGGGGACACGGGTTCGTGCCCCGGTCCAGGAAG